ATAAAAGTCTAATTTAAAAAAAAAGGTAATGGACCAGATAAAGAGATCCTTTTTTATGAATAATTAATTTAGTTAAGAAAATTCATTAAACAAAAATGCAACAGTTAAATTATGTGATCATTGTTATATAAAAATGAAATGAGTGATATAATAACAAGTCTTAAAATAAATATTTTATCATTATCAAAACTCATTGAATTTTAAAACTAAGTTAACAGGTTCAAGAGACTCAGTGTTTAACATTTAAAACCTTGTATTCATTGGTCTTTATGTAACTATCTTTGTCCTCTTTATGCTATTTTAAATTTTATGATAATCTTTAATTATTGCACCAGTCAAAAGTATTGTGTAGTGCTATAATTTAACAGCTTGTTGTTTGTTTGATTTTTAATTAAAGTATTTAACCAAAGTTTAAAAACAAACAGGTTTAATGAATCACTCATCCAAATATGGCAAGATGCAATATTTGGATGACTGATTCACACCTAATATGCAATTTTTAATTCTTTTAAACAATTAACATAATCTTTTACATTTGAGCTAAATTCTTATGTAGTTGATGGGGAACTAGCCCATAAACAATCTTAATAAGAATTCAAATAGTCAAGATCAATGACGAAGAATCAAGTAACTGACATGTGACAATTTAATGTCCTTGGATCTTCTATAATTGTAGTTTACATTATTGATATTGCATCAAAATCTCATTTTTGTTATATATAAAGTCATTTGTTTGCGTCACAGTGTTATGAGCTCCTAAATTGTTGAGGGGAAATTCGTTAGTTAAATCAAAATTTAAGAGTATTATGTAAAAGGTGTAACACTATTTAGTTTTAATCATATACACAAAATTATTTCCATATTGACAATATGCAAATAATTTACAACATTGACAATGTTGTAAATTATTTTTATTAGTTTATTATTTTATAATTATTTTATTAGTTTATTATTTTATAATTATTTTATAATTATTTTTATTAGTTTATAAATAACAATGGCATTGTTATTTATAAACTAATAAAAAAAGTAATTTTAATAACCAAACTATAATAAGAGAGTTATTATAAAACTGATTTGAAGTAATCATGCAGTCCATTATTTTCAATGCATAAAACAATAAATAATAAAATGGACCTAATTTTCTACCAAATTTCAGGGGAATTTAAGGGAAAATCAATAATCCTCGAAAAAAAAATCGATAATAGTTCCTCATTTTGCTGTAACCGGACAATTTGCGCGGACAAATGACGAGCAAATGTACATTTGACGGTTATTTATCCTTTTCACCGTTTGACATTGACTGATTTTTTTTTCCCGTGAACTTTGGGAATTCACTACCTCAAGTAGGCGCCTTCCAAGTCACACAAATTATCGTCTACGTGCCAGGAAGACAAAATTGTCGGTGATACTAATTCAATCATCAATATATCGCATCAATACTAATTGATATAATGTCTTATGTTAACATCCGATAGCGTTTTTTGGTATGAAATTTTAAATGTCTTTAAAAATAAACCTTACGCGTACAGAAATCGCGTTGTTAATACCATTTGCGCTCGCAAATAATTCAATTCAAAAAAATTGGACTCCCTAATCCATAATACCATATAATAGAATACAACGCATTTTGAATAAATTTTAGGTGCACTTAATGCACCTAATACAATGAGTATGCGTGAGAAGTCTTACAAAAGCTAACAAATACAAATTAAAATAAAAAAATGTGAGCTTTTTTTTTATTAGGAGTCTTTTATGATTTCTTAGAGTAAAAACCGATAAGCAGTAGTTATTCCTCAGATATCCCCGTGTTTCTAGAGTTTATCAACAATTGAAGGAGTTACATTCTAAAGTTTATTCTGTAACCACCTGGGTTGTAAATGTAAAATATATTTTAAAAAATCTGAGCAGCAATACAGATGTTATTTTGGCTAGAATGGCTTCACAAAATTGAGAGGATAGGGTTAGACCCTATCCTCTCAATTTTGATTTTAAAATTAAGAGCATTCACCACTTTAGCATTTAACAAATTTAACTGAACTTTAAATTAACTTGAATTCACATTAATTTTTTTAAAGTGAATACATCTTTAAACTATTTTTCATTTTCAGCAAACATTTTAATAAAGTTATTCAGTAGAAGGTAATATATTATCGTTTTCAGTAAAAGTTAATATTTTATCATTACGTCACGTTATAAAAGAATGGGGAAGTATTATTAAACTCTGCAAAAATTAAATAAATAAAAAATTTTTAAGATTCTAGGAACAGTTCAAATTTATTTTTTCAGATTAAGTTTAAACTATTTTTATCCATATCAACCATAAAAGAATGATGCTGCTGTAAGCATTTTATGTTGCAGTATTTTTGCATCATAACTCAAATAATTCCTCAACAACTTGTAATGAAGAAATAAAATTGAAGTCAAAATTATAACTGTTTCATATTTGAAACAATATTATTATATTGAAAAATACAATTTGTAGTATATTAATCTAAGTTCTTAAAAAATATTAATTTTTATAAGATAAAATGCTATTTTTGTAAAATATTTTTAGTTTCGTTACGGGCCATCAAATTAAAGTCACTTATTTCCCACCGTACTACATATCTTGGTTTTTTAGCTAAGGGTGTTGTTATGGTATATTGATAGCTATATATTGTAGCTTTGTCATTATCTACTATCAACTGTTATATCCACTTATTGCTACAGCAATATGAATACATGTCGCGAGTTTTTTGTTACCGATTTTAAAATATTATATTGATAACTACGTATCGTAGGTTTGTAGCTTACTAAAACTTAACTATAAATCTATAGATAGTCGATATCGCTAGCTTACAAACTAAAATGCTGTGGTGTGTAACTAACAGTATTATCATTATATTATTGTAGCTAACTACAATAAAACGACAAGTCTGTTTCTATTTGATAGCTTTATATCGTGCTTTTGTAGCTATTAATATGCATGGCCGACGACACGGGTTTTAAAGTGGAGGGGCATAACCCAGTGGGCACACGACGTTATTTCGACGTTGATTTACAGTTGATTTTTAGTCGCGACGTTGTATAACCAAAAATTAACGTTGTATCAACGTTAAAAAATTTGTTTAAAACTATCATATAAAATCGACGTTGACTCCACGTTAATTCAACGTCTATATTACGAGTTCGATCGTTCGTAATTGCAATATGAGAACTAAAATACGCATGCGTGACTTAAAATTTTTTTATCAACATAACAAATAACAAGTAAAAACTCAACAAGTTACTTATTAGCCCAATAAAAACGAGTAAAGTCACACATGCTAATAAATTAGGTCATCTGTTGCCTTTTTATAAGGTTTTGAATTTGATAATTTAACAATAATACAATGCTTAACTTGTGATGCAGTTAGTTAGGTAAATATTAAATGGATATTTCTTTATGACCGTATTATTTCATGAGTGTGGATTATATAAATAAGAAAAACATATATAATATATATTTTATATTTATATAATATATCAAGTAGTCTACTTGATATATTATATAAATATAAAATATATATTATATATGTTTTTCTTATTTATATAATATATATATATATATATATATATATATATATATATATATATATATATATATATATATATATATATATATATATATATATATATATATATATATATATATATATATATATATATATATATATATATATATATATATATATATATATATATATATATATATATATATATATATATATATATATTATATATATATATATATATATATATATATATATATATATATATATAATATATATATATATATATATATATATATATATATATATATATATATAATATATATATATATATATATATATATATATATATATATATATATTATATATATATATATATATAGTATATATATATATATATATTATATATATATATATATATTTATATTATATATATATATATATATATATATATATATATATATATATATATATATATATATATATATATATATATTAGAGCTGTACCGGATTTCGGCTCCGGCTCCTGCTCCGGCCCAAATCCGGCCCAAATCCGGCTCCGGCAAAAATTTAGCAAATCCGGCATAATTTTAGCCGGAGTTTTGAATTTTGTCAAATATTTATTACATTTTTTTTGCCCGTGTTTACATGTATACCTAATATTTTATTTATAAAAATCAATTTTTTTTGTAATTCTATATTTTATAAACCTCATATTTGTTTTGGTATTTGTATTTATTTTTCTTTATAATTTAATAAGCTTAGTCTAATTTCAAACAACAACGCAACAAAAAATTCTGAAGGGAAGACACACAATATTTTACAATGATGCAGGTATAAAGACTATGATGTCAACCCTAATCAAGTGATTGGATTTAAAACTAAATTCTCCTCATTACAGGCAACGCTGACAGCTGAAAAAACAAGATTGAAGTCAATCTGAGCATACTGAACAGTAGATTGACAAAAATGAAGAAAATCCACCAAAATAGGCCGGGCTTAATAATTTTTCTACATCATCATCATCATTACTCTGGCAATTTATTGATAAAATTATTCAGTCTACGTCCGCTGGTGGCAGGGCACATAAACAACAATTACTAAAAGGCATTGAAACTCAGCTAAGGAAATATCCGAAAGAACCAGAAATACAATGGCGGAGTGACAAAATCCCGGAAAAAAAGTTCAATAGAATTACTATAAACTTTAAAAACATATGGCCTATAGAATTTCTTAAGAATTTCTATTAATTTATATATAGAAATTGCTTTAAAAGTTTTTAAATAACAACAATGAAGTTTAACAGAAAACAGCAGTCACTTGGTATTCTGAATAGTCCACATTGTTGACCATGCTCGACACCAAGTAGGGATGTACAGGATTTTGGCTCCTGTAGTTTTGTTTTGAAACCCGGCTCCGGCTTCGATTCCGGCCAGATCTGTCAGTAGAAATCCGGCAAATCCGGCT